ATGCATGCAACGGGTTAGCATTCATTGCTTACACTGTGCATGCTGTCTAATATCTCTGACCAGCTTTCAGAGGCAATTTCACACAGTAAAAAGAAGTCTGTTTTTCAGGGATTAGCACAAGGTAACACTGCAGGCGTTACAATGTCATCCCCATCCCTTGTCGAAGGGATGTGAAGATACTAATTCAGTCATGTTTGGCTTCGGGTGTCAGAGACCTAAGAAGTTAAGGGTGAGTCAACCCACCAATGCCCACTGAAAATAAATCTATGTAGGGATGGTCTTTAAAAGGTGACTACACACAGTGAAGTACAGGAGCATGATAGGGGCAGTTGTGTGAGGCATCAAGGATTTAAAGATGGAATGTGTGTACAAAGCGATTTAATATCATAGAATTCCCAATTTTCCATTCCTCTCTCTTAATAAAGAAGTGAACAGAGATAACCCTGGCAATGGCAGACAGTAACAGAAAGATTGACCAGCATGCACAGAGTACTGGATAAGAATGGTGGAAGAAAATATCAGTGGTCAGAAAGGTTGGTTCCTAACAATGGGATACCTGCGTGCACTCTGGCTTTACTCGGCTTCTTTTCAGACCTATAGGAAATCTATTGAACAGCTGCCTGCACAACCTGATCTGAAAACACAGACCCAGCTTTAAGGCAAACCTGTAAAGGAATCCATTTCACCAAAACTTGCCAGAAAGTAGTTTAGCAGTTTCTGAGACCATTACAAAGTGTAACAAATTGTACAGTTCAGCCTTTTTGTTGTGACACATCGAAGATACACAAATACCAATAAAATAGCAAAGAGTTAAACATAATGTTGGGTTTGCCATAATCCACACTCCTGATCAGTAACAATAGGAACGCCATCCATTTTTTATGACATGAGGGAAGATTTGGGACCCTTGGTCATGTTTTTATTGCTGGCGATGTCTTATTGGGAAGATTCTCCCTCATTTCATGACCTCCTAGCAGAACAAGTAGTAATAAAACCACTACAAGAACAGACCCCACCCCTGCTGGATCTTTCAATTTAATAAATACTTTGTTTACGCCAATAGTTATTTACGGAGAGGGTTCTCTGTGGCGGTTTGACTTGTGGAGATCTGGCGTGGTTGGTCAGTCAAAGGTGCAGCGACTATGGTGACGAGCACTGTGAATCAAACGTGTCAATTTCAGGGAAAGTCATGAAAGCCTTGTGATTTTATATAAAAAGACTTGATTGAATATAGAACCAACATGTTTCAGGGTTCTCCCCTCTTCTTAGAGTCTTTGGTTGCTTCATCAGTCAGACGATTACAATATATGGCAGAAGTTTGCCATGGAAGGTCTGCACTGAAAGCAGCACTGGTCCTCTGTGCTTGTGGCTGTGCAGAAGGGGGGAGAGGCCAGAAATGTGTTAGCTGTATTTTGCACATAAAATCATCATGTCCTCAGGACTGGAAAGTTTGATGAACCGTACTGCTCACCAATCAGCACATTGTACAACTGGACTGACACCTTAGCTGTAGTTTTTCTTCACAGACTGATACTACATAACAGGATATTCTCTACTATACACACATTGCTTTAAAGTCATATTAAAGCCAAAAGGGTTTTAATCTGTTAAATGCTGATTATATCACTGAATGGCTGCTGCTCTTTGACATTTAAACGTTTGTTTCCTGCAGAATCAGCTGGTCCCCCCCCCCCAGCACTGGCCCTGATATCCTGTTTTAGGGTGCTTGCAGGGTGGAGCCACCCCTGTGTGTGCTCTCACACACACCCCAAGGCAAGCCACTACCCTGCCCCTCCCTTCTCAAAGCTAATAGATAGACAGCTGCTGTTCTTTGAAATCTTGTACTAGACAGGAAGTTAAGGGAAGGAGTGCAGACAGAGCTGGAGCCAGCTGTTCTGAAACATGTGGACTAGAACTGCCAGGGCAAAGATGTAAAGAAATATTTTGTTGGGCAATGTAGATTTGTTTTGATCTAGATTCCTTAGTTTAATACTACTTCAGAAGGGACAATGAAGAAGCTCGTTTTTAGTTTCTTTATAAAGTGGCTTCTAAAAGATTTTGTAGTAATTATACAAAAAATACATATTTACAAAGCTGCTGTAAATGATAATCCTGCATCGTGATCTTCTCCTAATGGCCCCATTTGATAGAAGTACTTGATTACTAGGTGGTATTACCTGAACAGTACATAGACAGTCCTTTATCGGTCCTTTGCTTCGTTCTTAAAGATGGAAATTGTAATATCTTGACAACTAGGGAAGGTCTGAATTTTAGTGGGACAAGGACACAATTCTGAACAATTATGGGCTAGGGTTAGTAGAACAATGTGTGTACCTGGCCATAGACAGGTGTGGGCGTATAGACTGGTTTGATGGCAGAAAGATAGGCTGTTCTAAGGTTCTGCAGGGCAGAAAGATGAGGACTTCATTTAAAATGAACTATTGTGGTGTAGGATGACACATTTATTAAAGGGAGCACGCACCAGCTTAAGTAAAACAGAAGTCTGATTCTAACAAACATGTAAAACTGCTGTATCTGTAGAAAATAAGTAAAGGCAACTGGACTTGCTGTATTTTCCTTGAAGACGTTTCACTGGTCATCCAACCAGCTTTCTCAATTCAGAATGACTTGTACAGTTTTAACACCTCTCCCTGGGCAGGTTATTAACACCTCCTAGCTCCAATTATGCAAATGCAATCAACACCTGGTTGCCACTAACAGATTATGTGGATTGGAGCGACATTCATCATATTTATTCCCAGATAATTTTTGTACAAGTCATTCTGAATTGAGAAAGCTGGTTGGATGACCAGTGAAACGCCTTCAAGAAAAATACAGCAAGTCCAGTTGCCTTGACTTAATTTTTACAGATATACCATGACCTGGATGGATGAGAACTAGACATGTGCGATTCGTTTCGTTCCGAATCGAAATTTGGACGAATTTTCGTAAATTCGGATGTATCCGAATTTCGAATTACAGACATAACGAATGCAAACGAATCCGAATTTCCATTTCCGAAATTCGGTAGCGTTCGCACGAACGTTCGGTTCGTTTTCTGTTCTTATTAGTTTCTTATTCGTTTCGTTCGTTGGAGCAAAGTGACATTAGAGGAGAAAAATATTTTTTCCCCCTCAAATGTCACTTTTGCTGCAAACGAATAAGAAACGAATAAGAACCGAATAAGAACAGAATAAGAACAGAATAAGAACAGAATAAGAACAGAATAAGAACAGAATAAGAACAGAATAAGAACAGAATAAGAACAGAATAAGAACAGAATAAGAACAGAATAAGAACAGAATAAGAACAGAATAAGAACAGAATAAGAACAGAATAAGAACAGAATAAGAACAGAATAAGAACAGAATAAGAACAGAATAAGAACAGAATAAGAACAGAATAAGAACAGAATAAGAACAGAATAAGAACAGAATAAGAACAGAATAAGAACAGAATAAGAACAGAATAAGAACAGAATAAGAACAGAATAAGAACAGAATAAGAACAGAATAAGAACAGAATAAGAACAGAATAAGAACAGAATAAGAACAGAATAAGAACAGAAAACGAAACGAACGTTCGTACTAACGCTACCGAATTTCGTCCGAATTCCGAATCGACTTTCACACCCGAATCCTGAAAAACGAAATAACACAAATCTGAATTTAAAACGAAACGAATTTTTTGGCAGTGCACATGTCTAATGAGAATCTTCACAGACATGTAAAAAAACTTTCTGAATATGCAGACCATCCATAATTCAGTACATGGAGGGGAGGGGGGTTATTTCAAACAATGATTTTATAATTTTCACATTTTGGAATCATTCCTATGGGTGCAGAGGTGCTCTTTAGCATGGGCACATGCAGCAAGCACACTCATTGGAAACCACTGCACTTCAGGTGTGAACTTTAAAGGAGAACTATGAGGTGAGTGCTTTTCACTCGCCTTATAGTTCTAGCCGACCTGTTACAATGAGACTGTCACAGGCTGGCTCAGTAGATCCGGAGGTGAGCGAACACATACCGGCGTTCGCTTACTTCTCGATCCTGTCACAGCTCTCTGCCGTGACAGGGGAGTGGCTGGATTCCCCCCTCCAATCCTCCAGCGCTGACTGGCGGAACGGACAGGGAGGGGGCGGGTACAGCTGGCTCTGCCTCTAGATGGGCAGAGCCAGCTGTCACTCACGCAGCTGGGCGGATCCAGACATATTTGTCGGGATCCGCTTCAGCGTCTCAGTATACCGTCGCTCACTTCTCGATCTATCCCTGCAGAGAGCCGTGACTCACAGCTCCGTGCAGGGATTCCACCCCCTCCAGCGTTGACTGGCGCAACGGACGGGGGAGGGCACAACTGTCTCTGGATAGGCAGAGCCAGCTGTCAATCCCGCAGCAATGTCGGGATCCGTCCCGGCCGCTGCGTCTCAGTATACCGCGAGCTGTATCTTGTGGTATACTGAGCTTAGGGTGACGGGAGGACGCTAGTTTGTGTCCTCCCGTTACCCTTAGGAGAACTATGTGGAAAAGTCCTAACCCCATAGTTCTCCTTTAATTCAGGTTTCCAGTCTTTCGGGGTTTTTCCTGTGGCAGGAGAATGTAGTAAACAACATAAAACTGCAAACTTTTCTCCAAACTCTCAGGCACTTCAATGCTAGATGACTTAGAAAAGATGTGCTAAATATACAGGGGCGCGATGTGAAAACTATACGCCCTCTGTTTTTATTTCTTTGCACAGTTACAGTACAGAAAGCCGTGGGGTTTATTTATTTTGAATAGCTTACAATGGAGCCCATTAATACTGAGAGGTACAGCTTTACAACATAGAGGATGGTTAGCTCTGTGTGACCTGCACAAGGAACATGTGACTCTGGTACACACTACAAAGGAAGATGAGGACTGCCAGGGACAATGAGGAAGAAAAGAAGCAAATACAAAAAGAAAATTCAGAAGTCTGGTATGGCAAATATGGTAAAACAAGCTGCTTTTTTTCCCCCGACTTGATCTGGTTCACAGCTATCCCAAGTAATCATGTCTACATATTGTATAACAAGCTCTACATACCAGTGCAACATATAAAAAGGAGACTATTTCAAGATCTTAAAAAAGGCACATTTTTGTTCAACCGCGAAGATTCCACCTTCCTTCAAATAAGGCATCATTCAAAATGGCCTTCTGAAAAATAGCACAGCCGGTATCCATACTTCATACAAAGTTCGCTTCACTCAAAAAGGAGTTTGCATTATTCGTGACGGTGAGGGCGGCGAGGTGGAAGAATTGTTCATTTTTGGTGAGTTGGAGATTTGAAGTTCTTCAAGTTTCCTGACATAGTCGTCACGTATTGCCAACAGCTCCATGTAACGCTGCTCTACAGGGTTTGGCTGCTGTTGATTTAGAGACAAAAACATGAAGAAGTCAGTCAAGCTAAAGTCTATCCCAATGTGCCCATTGAAAAGAAACCTGTCATAGGAGTAAAGCTGGCTGCTCAAATTGTGGCCGAATCCTGCTGACCTGAAATTCAAGCTGTGTGTGGCCCACCTGGCACCACTTCATTAACAGAAAAGAAAAAAAAAAAACTTTTAATTTTTTTAATAGATTTTTGTCCAAAGAGCAGGGTAAAAATTGTTGGTCGAACAGCACTATACAGTGGTTGCCACTCCAGACCTCTTTTTGAAAGCGCTAGTCATGCTACCCTCTGGCTTAAATAGTTTTAAGTCACAAACCTGTTACCCCTCTCCTATGGGTGGAGCTCTTCAGACCTCTCGCCCTTGTCCCCTGGGTGTAGCTTCTCAGATGGCAGACCCCTGCCCTCTGGGTGCAGCTCCACAGACCTCTTACCCCTCTCCACTTTACACTGTGGATTACGTACTCCACTTTACACTGGGCAGTACATTGTAAACTACACTGTTCTCCACTCTGTACCATGTGAATTACATATTGCCCACTGTAACCACATGTAATGTTTGTGCAAAATATAGCTTATTAGCTGCTAGGGACGCTAAGCATCCATTCAGGGCCAGCATGCCAACTCACCTGTGTGTAATCAAGCTGATTACACATGGTTGATATTTACATGTCAGCCCTGAGCAGGCCAACAGAGTAAAGGTGACCATACACCTTACGATTATCGGACAAAACTTTCAGTCCGATGATCGAATAGTCGTACGATTTTTCGTACGGCAGCCCCATCCTGCCCTGATGATCGCAAGATTAATTTAGCCGTAATTAACGAAAAGCACCTGGACGAAATGCGGTAATTGATTTGCCGTATTTTCGTTAGCGCAAGCGCAGTGTAGATCGTACGACTTTTGATGGACGGAAACGCCAGCAACCTTACGAAAATCGTACGATCTACCAAAGTTTTCAAACATGCTTGACCGTCAAAAGTCGTACGATTGTACAGTAATGTCGGTCGGACACTGCAATTCACACATACAATTATCGGACGAAAAGTTGATCGCATACGAACATCGTCTGATAATCGTAAGGTGTATGGGCACCTTAAGTACATTTGCGCTGTAAGCATGTAAACATTGTGTAGTAACGGTTACATGTGTACAGCATTAAATATGGCCCATAGGCAGGAATGTGATTGCAGATTTTTCTATTTTGATTTAAAGAATTTGAATGCAGTGTAAGAATGCACCATGTGCATGGCCCATAGGAAACAATTCAACTGTGTTTAGATCTGTGAAAAAAAAACAAAACAAAAAGCGCACGCTTTACTGATGAGACAACTTTTTTTGTGTGCATGAGCCAAAAGTGTTTATATCTAATCATTACCATAATCCTAGCACTTCGGATAGTTACCTGTTGTCTTATCCTTGTGTTCCACCTGATGTAGTAATTGACCCACAGCTCCAGGTGGCGCATGCTGGCCACAGGATACAGCACCCGATTCAACTCCTTTGTGTAGAAGGGGTTGATATATTTGGACTTCTCACTGTTTATCCAAGACCATACAGATTGTGTTTTTTCTCTTACTTTCTGAAAAGAGACACAACGTTTTAAAAATTGGGCAACAAAGAGAAGCGGCAAGTTAACACAGCTGGTCAATGTACACATATATGTTTACCTCTTTTTCCCGGGCAAACTCAGAGCTCAACAAGAATGATCCAAATCTGCAACTGTAAAGGTGATCCAGGATTGTAATCAAAAAGTGTTCATTGAACTCAAACGCTGTTGGAAACTGGGAGGGAAGAAAGAAAAATTACCACTGTGCTTTAGGAGAGAGAGAGAGAGAGGGATGGAGAGAGAGAGAGAGAGAGAGAGAGAGAGAGAGAGGGGGAGAGAGAGAGAGAGAGAGGGGGGGAGAGAGAGGGAGAGAGAGGGGG